TTCTCTCTCTCTGTTTTTGTTGTATTTTTCCCCCACATGAAAACACCATCCATCCCATTTCAGGATAACTTCCCTGGGAGTATTTTCTTTAGGTTTCACATTTTAGCAGCTTATTGGCTTAAGAGTCATGATAATTTATCGGAAGGGGGCTGTGACTCTTAGAAAGACCACATCTCTGATGGGTTGTTCATGCCTAACTCATCGGGTATATTTCATGGGCACAAAGAGAACAGGCTTTGTTTGTGAAGACAGAGCCTGGTTCCTCCAGGTAGTAGAAAGGTGGTTTGCTTCTCTGATCAGGAGGAGGGTTAACAAAGACCACCACTTTTTTTCTTGGGCAGTTCCCTTATACTCTGTTCCTTTCTTAAGTCATTCCTATGTTTTTTAAATTGTATCTTTGCTCAGAAAAATAAAACAGTTCCTAGCATGTTGATAATAGCAATTTTAACATGCCATTCATTGAATGCCTACTGTGTGCCAGGCATTGTGCAGTGAGTTATGTGAATTACTGCTGTTACCCCCGCCTCTCGGGACAGAGGAGACTCCTGAGCTCACTAGACTAAGGCCTGGCCCTTCCTCCTCACCTGTCATAGAGCAGAGGTTCCCACGGAGGTCTCTCTCAGACCGGAGTCCTGCCTCTGACCAGCCAGGCTTCCATTCCTACGATCATTTGGGAAGATTTGGCATTTGACTATGTTCTGGAATCATTACCAGCTTATAAGCTTCCTTCTCAGCTTTACTAACAAGCTGTGAGGAGAGGAGCCTGGCTTGGGGGAGTGTAAGAGCGTGTTTAGCACAATCACATACCCACACACTCACACTCACGCAGACCCTCGAAGGCTGGATTTAACCAGCCGCCTGGCCATGTGCCACCTCCAGCAACGGGCGATGTGCCTGGCACTGCACTGAGGACACAGCAGTGGGGACGTTGGAGGAGGGAAAGACACAGTGGTCCCCAGGGTTCAGCCAGTCCCAGGAAACAAGACCCCAGTGTTCTTACCTCTAGGGGCCAGTTCCGAGCATGTCCAGATTCCTGCCTCTGGGACTTCCTGTTTGAACTCTTGACATCCACTGTGAGAAAGATCTGGGAAATAAAGTTTGAAATCCAAGCAGGAGAAAAACAATTCCTTTAGATTATTTGAAGTTGATATGAGGAAGTGGGAAGAAAAAGATATCCTTTTGGAGTCGTGCAGCACTTTACAGTTTGTAGCGCACCTCAGTGTGTGTGGTTACTACTGGGTACTGGGCGAGACACGAGAGGCCTGACTCCTCCACGACCCCCTCCATCTTCATCTGGAAAATGAGAGGGTTGGACCAGTTGGTCGCTCAGGTCCCTCAAACTCTGTCAGCTGTGACCTGATACCAATAAGACAGCGGGAAACGTCACTTGTTGCTCTTTCTGTATCTGTCTTACCTCAGCCTGTCTGCTGCCTGGGAGGCCCCTGTCCTTCCAGCTCAGCTTTGCCTCCATAAGAGCTGTCATCCCTTTCATGCCTGTTGGCACCCGAGCTGGCAGGAACCCACCACCTTTTTCTGGGAAGTCACTTGGCTTAGAAAGATCTCGGTTGTTGAGGGATTCGTGTGCTAGTTATGTTTAGACCAGAGAGCAGTGTAAGGGCCACTCCAGTTCCCAGATTCTAGACTTCCATAAAAGGCCACCCTGTACGATGTACTTAGAGAAAACCCTAAGCAAATCCATTGGATACCATTTCAATGCTTTGTCCAGCGCACCTTTAGTAAATACCCCCATCCCGGAGTTAGATGTGACTGCTGCTCTCAGAGCCCCCGCATGCAGGAGGGAACAGGCCGTGAGTTTGTTTGCGTCTCCTGTTTAACTGGTCTGGCCTCCGTGGTTCTCTAGCTTTTAAGCATATGGGCATCGTTTAGACTCATTTGGACCCATAATGAATCTTGTTCTCTTGATATGCATTTTAGAAGACAAATCTGACCTTGAAAACAGTGTGATGCAGAAGAAAATAAAAATCCCCAAACTCTCTCTCAATCACATAGAAGAAGATGGGGAGGTTAAAGATTACGGGGAAGAAGATTTACAGCTTAGACACATCAAGGTAACAAAATCTTTCCCTTTTTTGGAAGTACGTGGGAGCATTCTCAGAGTTCTGACAGCTGAAGAGTTTTAGCCTGGCCTCCTCTCCCCACTAGATGTCCCCTGGCGTCCCAGGTTAGGAGAGGGTTGCTGCCAACCTCCTGGGGAGCCCTGACTCAGGCTGTGCCACCACGCTGGTCCTGTTTGCACCACCTACGCAGTGCACTGCTGCCAAGGGTTTGGAGGGTGCGTGCCTCTGGCCCACAGCTCTGGAGGGGTCCCTGCTGGGCCCCAGGAGCACTGAGCACATAGTTCCCGGGCAGCAGGTCCCAGCGGGTCACTATCCGATTGCCCCAAACAGTAAGGGGTGGACTCCCTCAGAACAGGGTGAGCCAGGTTCACAGAAGGGGATTCATGGGTTGGAAGAGAACTTTTGCATGAGGTTGCATTTCCTTTGGTGTGCACCCCAGTTGGTCTCCTCAAGCCTTCACTTATAAACCTAATGAAAACCCTGTTCAATAAGCCAAGTGTTTTTTCTGTGCGATGGGTACCACAGGGGAAGAGAAAGAGAGATGCCTTCTGCATTGATCATGGTCTGATTGTGGACACAAAGTCCAGGGCATTCCAAAGGTGTAATCCAAAGATGCAGCTGAGTTCAGACTATCCTTTCATTGCTCCCTGGCAATGGGCCTGGCCTTGGGGTCATGGAGATCAGCCAGATGTGGTCACTGCCCTTGGTCTCGCGGTGCCGGTGCCATGATGCAGACAGATATCTAAAACGGTCATTGGAATTGTAGCTGATAAGTTCATCTAGACCAGCAGCATCTTACCCCAGCAGATAAAATGGCCCCACCCTGGGTGGAGAGTTCCATGATCCTGTCCCTCCCACTCCCCTCGGTGGAAGCTGCATCCTCAAGCAGGAACTTCCTCCAGCAGCTGGAGCCCCGCATGTCCTGGATGATTCTCTTCTCCATGAACCGTCCCCGCTGTGTCCCACTGTCTTGTGGAACTTCAGCTTAGCCAGAGTCCAGGGCGGGGCTGGTAGACATGGGGAAGGGCTCAGGCTGGAAATTGGGCTCCGAATCCTGGTCTGGCTTCGTCTGTAGCTCACCCATGACCCTGAGACTAACCTTCCCCTCCCAGCCTTCATTTTCTTACCTGTAAAAGGAGGGATTGAACAGAAGAAACTTTCAGCACTAGCATTCTTTGAACTTTTCAGTTAAGTAAACATTTATCATGCCCCTGCCAAGTGCCAGTCTGGGTAGGAGTGGAGAATGGGGAAACTAAGGCACAGCTGCCACCCTAAGTGAGAGTAGATGACATTCTTAGCATCCTCCCCAATTAAAGCATTCTTAAGGAAAAGGTTACTTGATGGAATGCCCCTTTTCCACTTTTATGTTGTTGAAGAGATTTGAGTGGTGACTGCCCTGGGGGACTTGGCTTGCCCTGATTTCTCCCTGACTCCCCATAAATACACATTGAAACCCCTTGTGAGCTGTCACTGCCTAGGCCCTATGGGTGGGGTGGGGGCTGGGATTGGGGAGGGTGGTCATGGTATGATACACGTCCCAGGGGCAGGGTGATGGAAGGGAAAAGTGCTGGCCTGGGAGACCGAGTCCTGGTTCTGCCCCCACCTGCCCTTGAGACTTTGGGCAAGACCCTCCCACTCTGCGCCTCTGTTTCCCCATTTGTAAAAGGAAGGGCTTTGACTGCATGTCTGCATGGGTTTCTCCAAGCACTGATGTTCTGTGGTTCTGTGATTCTAGGATTGTCTGGGGAATATTGAGCTGCAGTCCAAGAAAAGTCCCAGCTGCCCTTGCCTGAACTGATTCTCGTTGTCCTACAGAGACCCGAGGGGCGGAAGCCAAGCGACGTGGCACACAAGAGCATTGAGGCCGTGGTGGCCCGGCTGGAGAAGCAGAACGGCCTGAGCCTGGGCCACAGCACATGCCCAGAGGAAGTCTTCGTGGAGGCCTCGCCGGATTGTCTGGGGAAATATTGAGCTGCAGTCCAAGAAAAGTCCCAGCTGCCCTTGCCTGAACTGATTCTCGTTGTCCTACAGAGACCCGAGGGGCGGAAGCCAAGCGACGTGGCACACAAGAGCATTGAGGCCGTGGTGGCCCGGCTGGAGAAGCAGAACGGCCTGAGCCTGGGCCACAGCACATGCCCAGAGGAAGTCTTCGTGGAGGCCTCGCCGGGCACGGAGGACATGGACAGCCTGGAGGACGCCGCCGTGCCCCGGGCTCTGTATGAGGAGCTGCTGCGCAACTACCAGCAGCAGCAGGAGGAGATGCGCCACGTGCAGCAGGAGCTGGAGCGGACTCGCAGGCAGCTGGTGCAGCAGGCCAAGAAGCTCAAGGAGTACGGGGCGCTCGTGTCCGAGATGAAGGAGCTACGCGACCTCAACCGCAGGCTCCAGGACGTGCTGCTCCTGAGGCTCGGCAGCGGTGAGTGCCCGCCCGCCCTGCACGCAGGCGGGTGCTTGGTGCAGCTCCACACCCAGGAGGGCACAGGGGAGGTGGGCCAAGTGCCCCGAGGCCAGGGAAGGGCAGAGACAGCTCAGCAGTCACCCCAAGGAAGAGCTGCCCCCTCCCGCAGCGAAGCTGACAGGAGCTTATAATCGCAGCAGCCGAGCACCTAGCGCACAGTGGGGACACGAGACGTGCAGCTCAGAGAACAAGTGGGCAGAACATTTGCCACCAGCCACTCATGGCATGTGTTCCCTCAGCCAGAGGCAGTGCCAGGGCTCATAGGAACCTCTGAGGAGGCTTTAGGTAGTGAGGAGAACTAGAGGTGATCCTAAAAATGCCATTCCTGTAAGTGAGAAAGTGGTACATGCCAGGCCAACGATGTAGATGAAGCGGTAGGAGAGTTGAAAGGATGGAGAGGGGTTATTTGTAACTGAGGGAGCCTCCAGGGAGGAGGCAGGCCTTGACCAGGGCCAGTGGGGGGTGTTTAAGGCACAGGAAGAGGCCGAGTGGCAGCCCGGAGTCTGGAGAAACACCCGAGCATGCAAGAAGCTTGACTGCAGGTGGGGTCTGACGGCCAGTAACTGCGGGCTTTGGAAGCAGCACCAGCCTGGGGTGTCTGGACGTGTCTTGGTGGGAATGAGAGGCATTGAAGAGCTTTGAGCAGAGTGCGTGGCCTTAGGAGATTAGCCCACAGATGTGTGGAGCTCCTCTGCTTCGCTCGCAGGACTCAGGCTCATACTGCACCGATTTTAACACACCGAGGGGTTTTAGGCTTTCTCATCTAACATGGTTTCAAAGCAGGAATAAGGGGAATGAAAGACGTCAGGCTTGACAGCAGGGAGAGATGACTGCTTACCGTGGTGGAGAGACAGAAACACTCAGAACACAAGAGTCCAGGGTTATAAGGGATAGAAGCCAGTCAGCATTGAGGAATCAGTGTAATGCAAGCCCATGGCCCCCACAGCCCTGCAGCCAGCCATGACTAGCCCTGGGTCAGTGTGCCTCGCTCAGAAAGGGGGCAGCCAGTGTTGACATTAGCCTGTCCCAGAGTTTAAAGTCAAAGGCCATCTGGTGGTCAAGAAGGAGGTTCCCATGGTCCAGATCACAGATTCCTATGTGGAGCCTCATTCCTCTTTGACATTAGATACATGTGCTCTCACTGCCTAACTTGTGTTGATAGATGCCCCTACATCTTATACTGTGTCCGTAAGGCAATCATTTCTCAGTGGATCTTCAGATTGGCCCAGGGAGTCTTCCTGTCACAGAGAAGGAACCGGAGTTTGGGGCTCGCCCAGAGTTGCATAGAGAGGCAGGAGCAGGGGCAGGGGCAGGGGCAGGGGCTGAGCTTATCTCAAACCTCATCTCTCAATTCCTAGGCTGGCAACTTCCTCACTCCTGACGCTGCCTTGGCCGTGGCCATCCTTCCAGACCTCAGACGAGGTACACAGTGACGCTAAGTTACAATCCATAGGTAGCTTAGAAGGTTACTAAAATTTTTTTTATCAAAATAAAATCTCAAAGAGAAACCCTAACTAAACATTTGTGAAAGCTGTGTTGGCTTGGGGTAGGGGATGAGGACCAACTGTAATTTTCAGAGAAAAGAGTGTCAGGTCCTCAGATGGGTAACTTTCTTTTCATCGCACTGTACGCTATGCCTGTTGTAAACGTCTTGGGGAAAAGGCACAGTAGCACAAACTCCCCACCATGTTTTCCCGACTCCCATGGAAACTGCCTGTTTTGCAGGCGTGTGAACGCTTAAACCCCAGAACCCACCCCTACGCCTCTGAAGCAATATGACGCTCTGCATTGTTCATCAGCGTGTGCCTCTCTCATCTTAAAACATGCAGACAAACTTGACCCCAAGAGTAGTTTTGTGCCGAATCTTTCCAGGCTCACCCACCCCACAGGCCTCCAATGCCATGGTGACAGCCAACAGCTGGCTCTTCCCTGATCCTAGTCCCGGTCCTCATCACAGTGGGACGGACTGGAATAGAAATCAGCTCAAACCATAAGCATGTGGAGTACCCACCATTGGCAGTACCCCTGTTGTGAGCTCCACGGGCACCTCAGAAAATCACTCCCACTATCCTGACCTCTGAAAGTGTAAAGCCATTTACTAGCACTTGTTCATGGGAGGTGGGGACTGCGCCAAGTTCTAAGATAGATCCACAAGATATAATTCAAGGTCTCTATCGTAGGGGAAGGTGGTTGCTTTCATGCGTCTAATCTAGTCTCTAGAACTGGGCTTGATTCAGCCGCCAGTATCCTCACTTCCCAATTCTATGGCTTTGGGAACCTTCTTTTCTTTCTCCTTCCTTTTCTTCTTTGCTTCCTTCCCTGCTTTTCTCTTTTCTTCCACAAATATTTATTGGCCTCCTGCTATGTGCCAGGCTTTTTGCCCGGTGTTAACATTTTGATTTATTGAAGCTACAGCCCTTGCCCAGCTAGAGAAACTCAAAGTGTCACTGACACAATGAGTGGCAGCACAGGGCATGCATGCCACCACAGGGACAGAAGCACACAGAGCTGTGGGGAAGCAGGGAGGGCACCCACCGAATTTGGGGGGTCAGGGAAGAAATGCCTCCTGAAGGAAATGGCTTTTGCGCTGGAGCCTGAAAGAAGGCAGAAATGAGTAGGTGGGAAGAGTGAGGAGCAGTCTTGACAGAGAACACCTCTCTGAGCCTTGATGTTCTCACCTGTAAAATGGGAATAATATCTTTCTCACAGCCTTGCGAGCCACTGCATAGGGCCTGGCAGTGTGCCGATGCTCAATTACTGTTCGCTCCTTTTCCACACCGTTTAGTGAAGGGGCTAAGACAGAGCTTAGCTTGTTTTTTAACTCTGGCTTCCCCAACCAGTAATTGGCTGCATGACCTTGGACGGATTAACTAACTTCTCTGCCTCCCTGGGTTATTATAGAAGACAAAAGGGGTTGTATATATGCATGTTCATTTGTTCATTCAATGACTCAGTTCATTTGTTCTATGCCTAGGAACTTGGGGATATAAAAAGAAGGCTAAGACATTGGAAGTTGGGTAGGGGGTGGTGATGTAAGCATATAATTAAAATTCTAGGCGAGGGGCTAGCATTTGAAGTAGATCTATTTTTTGGTGAGTTTGGAAAGAAACACCCCGTTGTAATAGCTCCTGGTCCATACATAACAGACAGAAACCTAGGATAAGGCAAAGGACAGCCAGAAAGTGCTCAGAGACCCTCTCTGATTCTCGGCTTGACACGCCCTCTAAGCAGCACATCCTGGCCTGGGGTTGATGTGTGATCTGGGCTGTACCATCCTTGGTCTCCTGGGCCTTCGTGAGCATTGTTCTTGCAGGCCTGTCTTGTGTGTTTTTCACACGTCCACCTTGCCCATGGGCCCGGCTCGAGGGCCTTTGTCCACCTTGAGGGCTGAATCATTCACACTGTAGCAGGCAGATTCCGAGATGAGGGAGGCCAGCAGGATAGGAGATGCTCAGCTTTAAGCGGAAGGCTCCCTGCCGGGAAGAATCACTGCTCACTCTCCTAGGCATTGGGGCCTTCAGATGGCAGGTGGGAGGGGCAGTGAGCAGGAGCCTGGCCTCCTGAGCCTAACGGGTACTTAAGAGTGGGAGCAGGTTCCTAGAAGCCGGGAGTACTTGGTTGGTGTACCTGGTGGAGGTTGGGGGCAGAGGGTTGGAACAGCAGCAAGAAGGTATGAGATGTTTCAGAGATGTCACTGGATGGCTCACCTCTTCGTTTATGCGTTTATTCGTTCTTTTCTTCATCTCACAAATAAACACAAAACAGATCTCACAGGAAACGATTCTCTGGAATAGGGAGGCATGGAGTATGAGGGACCTTTGAGAGCATGTAGGCTGTCGCCCTCATGTTGCTGATGAGGAAACAGGCCAGGAAGTGTCATGAGCCCATTTTCAGAGGCCTCCTGACACTTGGTCCTGTGTCCTCTCTCTCAGAGCCCTCACCCCACATGGCCTTCTTTAGTTCATGGGACACCATTGTCACTGACATGGAGGTGACCCCTCGGCACTACTCCCCACCCCAAAGGGTGTCTCTCTCCTTCTCTATGATCTTAGCACGGAAAGCAGCCATCTCTGATGCAAGCAACCTCATCTCCTGCCCTGCTCTCAGGACCTTTGTGGCTGTAAAAATTAAATGAGGAAGCATGTATAAAGAATACAGCAGCCACCCCCGCCGCCCCTTATTCACAGTTTGCTTTCTTATCTGTGGTCAACTGAGGTTCAAAAAAATTAAATGGAAAATTCAAGAAATAAACAATTCATAACTTTAAATTGTGCGCCATTCTGAGTAACCTGAGGAAATCTCACTCCATCCTGTTCTGTCCCACCCAGAACATGAATCATCCCTTTGTCCAGACTATGCGCGCTATGCGCACTGCCAGCCTATTAGTACTTAGTAGCCGTCTCGGCTATCAGATGACTGCGGTATTGCGGTGTTGTGTTAGTGACCCTCATTTTACTAAATAACAGCCCCAAAGTGTAAGAGCAATGATGATGGCAATTCACATATGCCAATGAAAAGCCATAGAGTGCTTCCTCTAAGAGAAAAGGTGTGTATGCATAGGGAAAAACAGTACACGTAGGGTTTGGTTCTATCTGCAGTTTCAGGCACCCAAGGAGGGTCTTGGAACGTGTCCCTGTAAATAAGGGGAGACTGCTGTAGAGCCCGGGGACCAGCATATGCTGTGTCAGTCCCTTCTTCCTTTTCTTCCCTTCCTGCTCCCTCTCTCCCGACGAAGTAAATGCTGGGGATGCAAGAAGCATGAAGATACTCTAATTATACAATACAGCTTCATTTGTGTATAGACCCATTTCTTCATTCATTCATTCAGCAAGCATTTATTGAGGGCATGCGTTGTGCCAGGACTGTGTTAGCTGCAGGAATATAGACATGAGTAAGACAATCCCTTTAAAACATTACCCAGCTTGGGGTTAGGTAGTGTTTATTAAACTGGGGCTTGG